CCCCCCTCCCCCTCCCCCCCACCCCAGCGCATCGTCTACAACAGGAAGCAACAAAAATGTGCAGAAAAGCAGGGGCCCGTAGAGGCGCCGTCACCACAAACCAAGAACCACAGGGCCTCCACCGCCATCTGATTACAAAAGCCTACTCGAAGCCTACCTGAAGCTGTCAAGATTCCAAATTCCATTTTAATCCTGAAAAAAATAAAGCTTCTTAACATACTGGGACACATACTGGTGGCTAGCAATGGGCAATAACTCCATAAGAAGTACGTTTGAACATCATACCTCCAGACACTAGCAATCAGAAGCAGCAAGAATATCTGCAACCAACTCACCTGATCCATTCGCTCCAGCTCGGCCATCTCTGCTGCCATCATCTCCTCTTCGTCGTCGGCTCTGTCTTTTCTCTCCATCTGCTTTTTGGCAATGGCATCCTCAAAAGGCTTATGGCTTAGCTAGGATTTAGGGTGTAAGGGTTTAGGGTTTAGGGGCTTAGGGCTTAGGCAGCTGTTCTAACATTGCACTGAACACTGGCTGCCATCAACGTAGGCAAGAAATTGCACAAAGAGCAACATGTCAGGACAGAGCAGGCAGCAGCAGTACCGATGACCACAAACTTGACAACTCCACATTGAAAACCTGCACCACGAATGCAGAATTTCCCGGCACAATCTAAGATAGTGGCAAAAAACGCAAACACAAAGAACCGAAAATAAAAGCAAACTCGCAAGCAAGCGACTGACCTCAACTAAGCCATGAAGCAGCATCCGCAACTTGAAGCTGAAACGTTCACCTATGATGCCTTGTTGGAAGGAACTGCCGAAATCATATTGGAAATTCGGGGTTGAAGGATCAGAGTCCTTCTATCTAGATGGCATATGGCAGCCGCAAAAACTCAACGAGTTGGATTTTCAGCTACATCTCGGGCGCAATTCGGTATGATGTATCCTTGAAAGGTATTGCAGTTACTGAGATGGGAACAACCTCCGGTTACCACCAGGGAAGGGTAAGTCTGTCATTTCACTGGAGGATTCTTCAAGACTTGGGGTCCTTCCAGAAACCATCCAGGTCTGCGGTGGGATCAGTCTACTGAGACAAACACACATTTCAGCTCTTTCAAACAATATATCTTGAGCAATTATCCTTCTAAAGTGCCCTAAACCCTAAACCCTAAACCCTGCACCTCTAGACTCGAATGGTATTTTTGGGGTTAGGGTACTATACAGGGGGTATATAGGGATAATGGCAAAGAAAATGGAAGCTACTAAATCATAGGGTTCTACAGGAGTTATATGGTGGATATTATAGTATATTATGGTATGTTATAGTATATTAGGGTATATTATA